CAAAATATACAGTGACTTGTAAGTTTATAAATCTTTTGTGATTTCATTTTTATTTTCTATAATACTAATTAATTTTTTGTAATACTAATTAATTTTTGTTAATATTTTTAAAAGCAGTAATATAGATGATATTGTGGACTATGAAGGCAATTCTTTCTCACATAGAAATAGATGCCATTGTTGAAACATTAATAAAATGTACTGGAATAGGTTCGAAATGGTTAGTAATCTGCATGTGATTGTTTTCACTTTGATTATTTACTAACTATATGTACATTTGTATATTAAAGGGGTGAGTCATTTTGCCCTACACAGAATATAAGATGCAATGTGAGGTTTTTATCACTGCCTATTCCAAACCTGCAAAGGTTATTAATGATCAATGTAGATCTGCAAGAATAAATCAATCTATTCTTACTGTAAAGTCTGGAAAGATAGCACCCTACTTTAAAATAATTGAGCATCAATATAAAAAAAATGTTACACATATGTAAAAAGGGGATGCTATCTTTCCAGTCTTTATGGTAATAGATTGTTAAAATTAAATTTAACAGATGATTTGGCCAGAAAAATTAGTATATTATATATACAAATTGCTGGGACCAGTGGCAAAGTAATGTGGTTGAAGGCTTTTATATGGTATTTCCAGGATATAGATTCAACATTCCCACAAAAATTAATCATATTGGAAATCTCAAAAGCTTTTGAATCTTGTTTTGGTAAGACAGGGGTGATTCTTGTTATAATAAAGGTTTATATGTATTTTGATATGAGTTATAATAATTTATTCATCAATACTATTTAAATAGGATGCTATTTCTCAGACAAATAAAATAATTGAAGAATTAAGGAAAAATTTTTTATATCAGAAAAAAAATTTCAGCTATCAATAGCCGAAAAACTGTTTAAGGGATAAATCTAAATTTATTTGTGAGGCATGGTGGATGCCCAAAGTCAAGAAAAATGTAATAATAATGACCAACCAAAAGATATTTAACTATGTATTAGAAGAATTTAAGCAAAAAAAAAATATCAACCTTCTCACTGAAATTAAAGAAGAAGTGAAAAATGAAACTATATTAAGATTAAAAGCGGCTAGTGACTAAAGATGGTTCCTCAATTAGTTGCAACTAATTGCGGCATATAAAAATTGAATTGTGGTTGCAGTTGCAGCATATGAAAGTTGAATTGCGGCTAATTGCAGTTCCATCTCTGCTAGTGACAAAATAATTAAAAAAAGAAAACTTTATTGTATTGTTTTCTATTCAAGAATTGAATAGTTGAAAATTGAGATGAAAATAAATAATTATTTTATTATTTTATAAATTGCAATTTTTTATACTTTTATATAAAAAAATAAATCCAATTGATTTCAATTAAAATAAAAATCATCTTCCAAATTTCCAAATGGTAAAAGTTAATTATTTAATTCAAATTTTTAGTTGACACATGATCATGATAAAATTTATGAATATATTGCCAAAAAAATGGTTTTTATCTTTTGATTTATCCTTTAAACGAATTTTGGGCCAAAATTTGAATTCAGATATTTTACAACAAATAAAAGTTTTGCAATGTACCTCTGGGTGTTGTGTGTACTATTTAAAAAACCTTCTCAAATAGTATCTCTATGTAAATAAAATAAAAAAAAGTCATTATTGTGTAAATTTTATTATGTTTTATCCACGGAATACAAAATTTCCGAATGCCACGCCGCCAATTTTAAAAATGCAATAAAAATTTTACAGTCACATGATTTTTGAAAATTGTCAAGTGCTAAATAAATATATTAAAATTTTTC